TTAAAGATAAAAATCCCATGAATTTACTATCCGAAATATAGAACTTGAATAGCTTATTTTAAATACATTGATTAATAAATGTTCTTTACACTTACTAAATTAACTTGAATAAAATAAAATCATATTAGAGGTAGAACTAGAATAGCTTATTTAAACACATTGATTAATAAAATGTTTTTTACACTTACTGTTAATGCTAATAAAATTAAATTAAATTAGAGGTAGAACTTGAATAGCTTATTTTAACTACATCAATCAATCATGTTCTTAACACTTACTAACTAAATGAGTGCAAATAAAATTAAATTATATTAGAGGTAGAACTAGAATAACTTATTTTAAATATATCGATTAATAAATGTTCTTTACACTTACTAACTAAATTAACATGAATAAAATAAATTAATAGAACTTGGATAGCTTATTTTAAATACATAAATGTTCTTTACACTTACCAACTAAATTAATGCGAATAAAATAAAATTAAATTAGAGGTAAAACTTGAATAGCTTATTGTAACTACAAATAATAAAATTTTTTTACACTTACTAATTAATGCAAATAAAATAATACTAAATTATAGGTAAAATTTGAATAGCTTATTTTAAATACATCGATTAATAAATGTTCTTAACACTTATCAACTAAATTAGCGCGAATAAAATAAAATTAAGAACTTGAATAGCTTATTGTAAATACATCGACTGACTAAATTAATCGAATTAATTCAAATAAAGAAGTAGAACTTATAATTATATTATACTCGTTAAAATTTTAATAGATTGATACCTTAACAAATACTGATTATTTGATAAGTTTACAGTATATACTAGTACACGGAAATTTATACCTTTGGAATTTTTTTTTTTTCGAAAAATGTTAGAAATTGTTCTATTTATTCAAAGTTTTATAAAGCTAACATTTTTAATAGCTTACAAATCTATACATGTTTTTAATAACCCGCAATAGTCTGATAAATTCTCGAACATCAAGATATATTATTACGTACTGTACAGTGAAAAAGTGAGGATTGGTTCTAGGTTAGAACTCGTCCGGAGGTTTGGTTACACAGAGGTTCGGGATTGGGTTAATCTATACAAATAATCCGAAAATCCAACTAAGAGGTAACCCTAGCTTGGATAAGGCTTGAAAGAGGCGGGTATAACTTGGTCCGAGGTTAGGGTTACTTGGGTAAGTATTTTGATTATAGGAGTTGGGTCTATGGATTGTCTTGGTCACGCTTATCGAAGATCACGGTTTGGTTACTATTTGGTCACGATTTGGTTATCACGGGGTACAAAACTATTGGTGAGTCGATTATGACAATTACGAAACTGATCAATTGTTTGATCAATTTAAGGTACTATAAAAGGGTATACGATAGAACAATTTGGGTACTTTTGCTCTAACTGGAAACTGTATTTAACGAGAAATTATTACAGGAACAAGGTAGAAAAGATTAACGATTTCAACAAAACGATTTATAACAATTTCAAAGGAGAATTTATTTTTAGAGATAAACACTTCTATTCAAGACTATTCAAGACTCAGAAGGCTTTACTTTTTTTTGAACTCTATGCGTTGATTTTTTTATTGAAGCAATTTCGAAGCACTTATATACAAAATTTTAATTAACGGAAAATATAGCGAAGATATCAAGGGTTCTTGAAGATCCCTAATATAACTACTATATCTAATATATCAACTATCGCTAATATATCTAATATATTTAATATATTTAATAAAACTAATATAACTAATATATTTAATATATTTAATATTTTCAATATAGCAAATATCTCAAGGATATCGCTTATACCTGGATTTCCGTGATCGTGTAACCTCGAGACCGCAGCAATTTTCCGGAGTGGCGATTTCCCCTATTACAACAGCAATAAATATTTTCCTGCGTACTTGATCATCTCATATTTATGCATTCCAAAATGTCCCAGGATTTTCATCGTTATATGTACGAGAATCGACATTATCTTTTCTTTGCATCCGATATAAGCATAAAAAACTATCGAATGTGCTTTGATAATTTGTCTATTACAAACTTCAATTGTTACATCACAAAATCGTTCTTATATTCTATATTAAGGTGATATTTGCGATTTCTATTCTACATGAAGGTGAAAGGATGGTGGTGATATTTGGTGATTTCTATATGAAGGTCTGGATATTTGAAATAATGGGTAAAGGTAAACATTTTATATTGGATTACAGGGCCTATGCCCAGTGCCGAATTGAGTTACAGTAAGTACAGCTTTCTCAACAGCTCCTTTTGCCATGGTAGCTTTCCTCCTTTCAGCATTATACCTATTGTCTATATGCAGATCTATCCAATGAATGTTCCTCGAATAACTTTATTCCTAATATCTAATGACTTTTTCGATGCCGACAAAACCTTTACTATTAACCACTTTAGGTAAATATGACACGAATAACCACTCCTTCCTTCAAAATATTGTTCAAAGCATTACTCTCCTAAATAGTATACGTGTAAAACTGACTCCGAGTTCATAACGATGTTGGCGGGGTGTCCCTTAATAATCAATTTGATTATACTGATATCAATAAAAGAACCTGATATGTATATTAATTAACTACCTCTTTCTTTTGATGAACTATGTGCAGCACAAAATAAACGTTTTACTTATTTAAATTCTTGCTCTAATAAATGACAAGCTTTGATTATATTAGCGTCATTGCTTCTCAACTTTCAAAAATTCAACCTCTTCCTCCAACTCTTGTATTCTTCTTCGTAATTCTTCAACTAAATTCCGATCTAGAATAGAGTTTTTAACTCATCTTTGATAGCTTCACTTGTATGTGGATAAGAAAGGTAATGGCAAAATAAAAGTGCTTCTCTACATTTAAAATTTGAATTAAGCCAGGTTGCTGTAATGCCAAGATATCCATGTTTACTTTTTGCAGTCCAAAGATCTGTTGTTCCCTTTTTGCTGCACTTTCATTAATTAGTTTCTTCTTTTTCATTATGATATTCAAGCTATTAGGGGTTGATTTATTATTTGTTAATGGTAAATAAATAGTGTTTAATCATTTTTACTATGTTTAACAGTTAAAAAAGAATTAAAAAAGCAAGAAAAGCTTATTATGCTTTTATATTTCAAAATTATTCTCCATCTGAAACAAGTCAATCACAACATTTAAATCACATCACGTAATCCAATCAAGGTTTATATTTTGCAGTTTAATTTGTTTATTTAAAATTTTCCCTTCCCACGAACTTGAGTTAAACAAATTATCAAATTCAAATAACTTAATGTTACAGTAATAAAACCGCGTTATAATTATGGTGAAAGTTATCAGCTCTATCCAGTTTATATATTTGACTATAACAAAAACCGATCAAAAAGCCGAGTAAATCGATAATCTCTTTTATTCGTCCGGTGCTATGTAAACACTGACGGAAAAAATTTCACGTTATTGCCGCAGGTTAATATTAAAGTCATCTGAAAATAAAACCTGCGGCATAATATTAATTTTTTCCGCAAGTGATACGTCATACCTGCCGAATAAACTAGTTATCTGGCATGATGATGACGAATACGGTATCAACAGAATAATAACAACGCACGTGGCCGAAGGCCACGTGCTTTTGTTATTATCCTGCCAATAACTGTGTATTCATGCCAGATAACAAGAAAGTATTCAGGAGACTTGTGATCAAACAGGCCTCCTGGGTAGGTCATGTTGATCGGATCAGGTTAGGTATAGTGGTGCCCCGATTTCATTATACTCCCCCATACTTAATTGTTAGTCTTTTAGAGTTGTTTTTAAATAGCTCTTTAGGTCTAGTTATTCTTACTTAGCATCTGAAATAGTGCTAATGATATCACGATAACCACATAGCGATAGCTAATTCCTAAGAAAAAAATTTTTGTCATCAAATTTAGCTAGATGCTATGATTACATATGATGATTTGGCGATTTTGTCGATTTAAAAATTTTTTTATTATCGTTATAGTTTGAATGTAAACTTTTTGAATATATCCAAATAAGTACGTACAGTACTGTACATATCTATTTCTAGTAAGTTATACAGTATACGCAGTATATATTCTCGCTTTAAGCAAATAGAACTTTTAGTAAAATGACCACAATGAGAGGATTAACTACATTCAAATAATTAAGATAAAATGATTTATAGCTAATACTTAGATATGTACAGTGTAATAAATTAATATTTAACAATTTAGCATCAGCATCAATGTTTGGGGTTTCAAAGTTAAAATTAGAAAATCTTATCTTATTTTTCTGATTTATAATTCGACATACGTAGTAAGAATGCTACGTACGTATTTGAAAAATCCACTTATTTTATAAAATGCGCAATTTTTTGTTAACTTTGAAACCCCATAGGTTAGATAAATATAGTAAATACAATAGACCTTAAATGAAGATATTTGTTAATAATACTTACTGGAAGCGTTATATTTTATGTAACCGTCAACGCAAACAATTGATCATTACGTATTAAAGTTTAATTTAACCTTATGTTTAAATTCTATGCTTTTTTCATATGATCCGAGGATCATTTTCCGTGACCTGATGTCACAAAAGAACATCTACCGGATATTATTAAACAGCTGGGTACAATCATTGAATCAAAGCATTCACCGGTAAATACTAACAAAGCATTTAAGGTAAAAAATAACGATAATATGATCAATACTAACTTTTATGCAGATAAGAATTATTTTGGCAAGATAGTAACGGTAAGTAAATCATAATATAACAATGACAATGACAAATAACACGGAATTAGGATTAAAATTTCCAAATATTTAGATAATACGATAATTTTTACCGTTATCGTTATTATTTTAGGCCGATTATTCTGGTGACCAATAAAATGGCACAATCTTTAGTAATGATTTTATATATTTATAAATGCAGTAATGGACTGATCCTTTTTTTTAAATACCGATACACTTTCAAGAAAAAAACTGCATTTTCTCCCCCCCCGAAAAAAAATGATTGTTCTTTCAAAATATAATGAAACTTCTCAAAATAACAGTCCTGGTGGTATCCTGACTTACTGCTACAGATGGAAAATAACAAATTGGAGTGAAGTTAGACCTTTTATGGAGCATACTAGCCCTTCTTTTAATGCCGATGGCCTGCATTGGTAAGTATTATTGTGTTTATTGTTGTAGTATCGATTCCTAGAAATTCTAACTTTTTTCTTTGAAATTGACAATTGAATTTTAAGGGTTTTTAAGGTATCAATCGTGCCTAGCTTTTATAATGCAATTTTTTTTTATCTAATTGATGTTTTACGTATTTTTTTTGAATTATTCAAGTTTTACAAAGGAAGGCAGAAAAATCCACAGGTACTTTAAATACAGAATTTATTATTCCTACCTTTATTTATATATGTTATTTAAATCGTTGCCTTTTTGTAAGGCCTTGTCACTGTATTTAGGTATTTTAGAAACAACACCAGGATGTCTTCGAGGCATCCGTAAGAAAGTTAGTATTATTTTTGTATTGGAAAATTTGAGAACCAGAGGAATGGATTTTGGAAAGAGTATGTTCAAAATCAATTGCTTTTTTTTTTTTTTTTTTTTTTTTTTTTTTTTTTACAATTCTTTCGTTCCTATATTAATTAATTCTTATCATGGTTAATTAGTGGAATTGCCCGTTTGGTTTTGCGATAGTATGCATGTTCCGATTGATTATTTTTTTTCATATTATTTATAAATTTATTTGTATTTAAATTTGTCTATAAACTTTGTCAGAACATTCTACTTGGGGAGAAGAAAATCTTATGTCTCTAGATGAGATGGATAGGTGGAAATTTTATAATAATTTATTCGTGTTATTATTTATTATCACATTTTCCTAACGATTTTGTAAAAAAAATTTATAGATTTATCAGTAATGACACTGTTTCTCTTTGTGTCAAATTTGAAATTCAGGAATCTATTCTAGACACATTACCAGAGATTATAAATCCTTTTAATAAATTAGTTAATTCTCCAAAATTTTCTGACATTACTTTCCGTGTAACTGATGATTCTGGACGTGACAAATTATTTTATGCTCATAAGGGAATTCTTGCTAGTTCTTCACCAGTTTTTGAAGCAATGCTTACAAATGGAATGAAAGAAACTTTTGAAGATGAAATTCATTTATGTCAAACAAATCACTCAGCTTTCCTTGCATTACTTACTTTTATATATACTTTTAAAGTTAATAATACTTCATTGAGCAATGCTGAAAATTTATTGGCTTTGGCTGATAGGTTTGCTATTGTTTCTGTTCGTGAAGAATGTTTACGACATTTCCGTTTGGAAATGAATGCTGATAACGTATGGGGAATTTGGGCAATTGCTGGTATGTTTTTATTATTGTATATTTTCATTTGTTTTTTTTTTTTTTTTTTTTTTTATATTCTTTATTTATTTAACTTACATTAATTTACATTTTTGTAAGAAAAATTTTCTTGTGTTAAAACTTCTGCTGCATGTCGAGATTTTGTTGCTCTTAATCTGGATACTCTATTGGACAAGCAATCAACACTTTGTGCTGATCCAAACATTTTATGTCTCGCTCTAGAAAATGATGAAGCTAATATAACTTCTGAAGAAAAAATTTATGAATTTGTTGTTCGATGGGCAAATTATTCATACTCTAATGATTCATCTAGTAAATTATCTACTGGAAAAAATTCTTCTAAAAGTATAAGAGTTGATTCTTTACCATCTGTACCATCCTCATCATCTGTTTCTATGCCTTCTGAACTTCCAAAAGGTACCAGAGATTCTAGTCAATTAATAGAAGGTAGTAAAGTGTCTGTAGATCAAGATTTAAGTGATAATGAAACAGTTGATAATGATGATTTTTATGATGACGATGATGACAATAATGATGAAATCGAAGATAAATTTCCAAAACCTTGGAAAGGTGATAGATTGGCTGCCCTTCCATCTTTGCTAAAGTGTATTAGATTCCCAGTGATGCAAAAACGTTATATATTTGAAAAAGTAGAGGGAAATGCGATTGTTATGGCCGCTGAAGTAATGAAAGATCTTGTAAGTGAATTTTAATAATATATTTATCAAATATACATTGTTTGTTATTTGATTGTTTATATATTAATTTTTACTTATTTAGGTAATTGAGGCATATCGATTTCATTTAATGCCTGATGTATCTATTCATCCTACTAATAGGACCAAGCATCGTAGAAGAAAGACAAAGATCATTGATTAGTTGAAATTAATTCATAATACTAAAGTAACTATTTTAAATTTGTACATATTTTTTTTTTTATTTGATAATTTTTATAAATCGATAAAATCGATAATAAAATATCTTGTAGACTAGTTATATACACATGTAAACAATCGTTTAATTTGAACTTTTATAAAGCTCTATTATTTGAATTTTTTTTTTTTTTTTTTGAATAAATTTTTTTGAATTTTTTTATGTAACTTTTCTAAACTTGATTTTAAATATTTGGAATTTTAATGTTTAGAATCTGTTTTGTTCTAAACTTAAAAACAATAAAACCTAAGAGGTAATAAAGCTAATCTCAAAGTATGAAGTTATCAGTATAAGGCGGAGATGGTAAATAATAACCCAAATGACTCAAATAACAAATGATCAGTCATTGGGCCTATATAAATAAGTCATTTAACTTCTGTTAACTGTAATCTAATGCTATTCAAATATCGATTATCTTAATAAAATTTTGAATTCTCTATCATATGTAAAAAAAATTTGGCACGCGATAAACGACCTAAATGACTAGGGTCAAGTCATTTCCAATTCTGCAATTGAAATTGATCGAATAGTTGGTTAGCATTAAATACGAGTGTCAACTTTTAAAATTGATTAAAAGGAAATTACTATTCATACCCTCTCCTATAAAGTACAACACAGGTATTGTCGCGTAATAACGCGCAGGGGTGAAATTAAGAATTTCGGCCTAAATTAAGCTTAATTCGGGCCATGATTCTAAATAGCGTACCTGCACGTTATTACGCGACAATATAGAATAAAAGGTTTATCTAGATTCCGTATACCGATACAAGATAAGAACGCACATAATGCAGGGATTGAACTCATTTAGTCAAATTATGTTATTTCCATAATTATCAAGAATAATGTTAACTTAAACACGGTTAAACGTTAAAGTTAAAATTTTTTTAATTAATTCCGACTTGCACTAAAAAATGTAATACAGGCCGATGGATCTTTTTATGAATGTTTACTTGTATGTCAACACGAAAAGAATTCGTCTAAATTTTATTTACACGTGATATATATATTTTACACTAAATTGACTGTATTATATACTATGCAAGTAGGAAATATTATAGAGAATTCGTAGACATGATTTTTTTTTTCTACTGTTCTAAATTATAGAAATCACGCGGTTTAGCAAGTTAACAAAAAATCTATATTAAAATGATTATTATATAATTTATTAATCTATATAGTTGCGTTATGTATAAATGTTGGTTCAGTGATCTTTCCTTCTGTTTTGGCGGAAAAAATATAGTACTAAGATTGTTGAAGCTATAAACAAACAAACAAAAAATTGATTAATTAAATAATAATTTAGAGAGAATTAAAGGAAAAAAGTGTTTTTTTTTTTTTTTTTAAGAAAGTAAAAGTTTCGATAGATTGTATAATATCTTTATTATATTAACTATCCAGAGCTTACCATGTGACAAAAAACTTGAAAAACTTCATAATCTTCTACAGCAAATTTTGTAGAATTAACAATAGTATGCTTATAACAACGTTTTTTAGCAGAACAATTATAATCTTCATTAAATTGTCTACGCATATCTAAATCAGTTTTTCCAAAACATGGACCAAACGAAGGATCATCATAGATAGCTTCGTTTCCAGGTTGAACTTTACTTAATTTAGCATCAATAATATTTCCACGATTACCAAATGAAAATAAAAAACTTTCTTTAGTATATTGCCATCTATTTGTCTTCAAACTTTTCCACCCGATTGGATTATAACCACCAATAATTTGATTATCACCACGAATTTTAAGTACAACTAAAGTTGGACCTTTGTTATCACATTTTTCATGGAAAATTTGAGGAGTGAAACCATCACGAGAACCACGAAGTAATAATTTAAAGTCATAATGAAGACGTGAAGAAGGTATACAAATATTTTTTTTTACATGAATAATCCATTCGGGAATCTTTAAGGCTTGATGAGGTAAGATTATATTACTATTAATAGAGACTATTGGATAACGAGGAGGTAATATAGAAGTCGGAAGACATTTACTATCAAGAAAAGTTATTATATCATTATTTAAATTCTGAGGAAGAATATCTCTAAATGGAAAAATTTTATCATAGTATTCGTGAGAAAATTCGGAAAATCTAATAAGTGGAATGAGATCATTTAAAGAAAGTTGTAAATTAAGAAAATCATCTTTGGACCATTTTGATATATCAGTATTTAAAGAAGTTTGAGCAATTCCCCAACGAATCAGATGATCCCAAATATCAGATTCTTCAATCTGTAAATTATCTTGTTTAAGTATGTGAAATAAAATTGAATGATCAAAATCTAAAAATTCAGGTGAATTAAACACAATATTTGGATTCCAACAGATTATATCCATGCAATGGGAGCGTAATTCTTTACATGCATCACGTTCAAATACGGTGTGTAAAACAAGGGCAAAATGATCTTGTAACCATACAAATTTATCATGTATAAGATGATCTTGAATGGATGAAAGGAGGTCATTCTCGATCAATAATTCATCAGCAGCCACCAGAATATCGAGTACTACCGAACCATCATGATGACTTAACTGTATAATATTAGTGTTAAAATATCTAACAATAAATATTGACTATCAGGTAAGAAATAATAAATAATAATAATAAATACGAATATGAAAAAAAAAAACTTACTCCAATATCGCAGAAAAAACCTTGGGAGATATATTTGGCTTTTTCAGTATAATATTTTCACCTTCTCTTTTTGCCCAAGTATTTGATAAAGCAGTACGAAAATATGGTGATTTCTTCCGTAAAATGTCAGAATGAGCCAAAAATGTCTTTATATCTGGCTTTTCACCGACTTGAATCACCACATCAGCATTAGATAATTTAACATTATCCCCGTAGGAATCAAATTTAGAACCCATTTTAGTGAAATAAATAATTTTTATTATAAATAAAAGATTGGTGATAAGAGACAAAAAAATAGTAGTAAAAAAGTGGTATTACGTCTTAAAGAGGTATATACGCACTTATTTATATATTTTTATTCTGTGCATCACAACATTTGCATAATAAACATAAAGATAAGTGTAAGTGTTGAAAAATTTTAATTTTATTTGTATAACATATCATCTAGTAAAAATATAGATCTTTAATCACAATAATAAGTAATAGTTCAACGAATATAACAGCATTGATTCGAGCGGAAGGTACAGTACGTACAGTACGTACAGTATGTATGTACGTACGTACGTACATAAGAGTATCGCCAGATGAAACCCGAGATTATTTATAGATAAGATTTCCAGTTTTATTTGGCGGTATGTATTCATATTTGATATATAGTATTTACGTACATAGTAATGGTATTAATGCATAAAAGTTACACTACAGTGAATTGAGAAAACTGCATATATAAATTACAGAAATATCCAAAACGAATCTTAAGTTCTATTAAAATTTTTATTATTAAAGTTTTTAAAACGAGCGTAAATGCTAGTTTCAAAAAAAGTTAATATGAAAACACCAATAATATATCTATAATACTATATTTTTTATTTCATATATCACGACCTTTTATCCTTGACAATTAAAATCAACCTAATTTAGTTCGATTTAGAGTTAGAATTAGGGTGTCGAGGAAATGGTAATAAATGCATAGTTATGTGCTATTGCATATTTTCACACACAAAGAATCTGTTACAAAATGTCTGGATCATAATAGAAAATTAAAGGATTATTATTACTTCATTGTTAGGTACATCTTAACACATATATTACCGAAATAGTATGTGATGATACTTTCTTTTTATTCAAAGATTGCCATTACTAAATTAAAACCATAGTTATAGGTTAAATTATATTGTTACTGTATTACCGTTACAGTATTAGATCAAAATTTGATATATCGATATCAAATCTCATCATAATCTTAAATGATCCTTAAGTAATAGAATAAATCTTATTATTAATAAAAAAATATATACAAACTTCTCTATATGCACTCTATCCAAATACGCATATAGTCTAAAGAGGCCTAACTGTATTAAATACAATTAACATCATATGGGGTCTTTGCCTTGAAAATCAAGTTTTGATCATATGATTTACTATGTCTCGTAAAGTCATTTTTAAGGCAAAGACCCCATATATTTTGTATATCGATATGTAGATCAAAATTTAAATATGAAGTTTTATTAGAGTTAGGGGTAGGTATTTAATCTAGCGCGGATATTAATTTGACGCACAACGTATGTATCACTGTATATTAATATAACCAAAAATATGAATGGATCGTTTAAATTGTACAATAAATTAAAATATATGAGGTCTTTGCCTTGAAAATCACGGTTGGATCATATGATTTACTATGTCCCGTAAGGCATATATTTAATTGTGATTCGCTTAGGAACCAGTGAATTGTCATAATAAAAAGGTGAATTTATATATTTATTGAAATCTAGAGTTTTCCCAAAGCTACGTAATTTTTAACTAAGTAAACCTCTCTTATTATTCTAATAAAAAGTTTTAGAGGAATAGATTTTTTTCACTTTCCGAGCAACTATTTTGTATTTTATTCTCAAACAAATTAAAAAATATAAATGATGTGATAACAGAAAAAACGCAATAAAAAATTTGCACTTTTAATCAAAATTACATTTGGAGAAGATGAATCCGGCTATAATGGTGGTAAAAAAAAACATTGAATCAGCCCAGTAGATCGCAAGATATACGCATTTTGGTCTTCTTGATCATATTTTTCTTCCGAAGACTATATTATATATTCATATTTTGTAATTCATTGAGCCGATTTTAGCATTTTATCACCATTATGACCATCGCCTCTATTGCTTTTATTAGAAGCACAAGAGAAGTTAGTAAAGAAATTACTATTATCTTTGAAAAAAAAAAAAAAAAAATACATATATATATATCGAATATATATATACGTATAGTAAGCTTATCTCCATTATTACTAAGTTAATTAAGGTGGATCACTAATTAAATATTATACCTTATTTAACATTGAATGTTGGACCGAAAGTTCGAAATAAGAGATGCCAATCCTTTTTCACTGCTTGTAATTTTTATACGAGATATTTGATAGCTCAATTCGGTTATAAATATGTTTTAGTAGAAAGGGTATACTATATGATAGATGCTAAATATTAAAACAACACTAGAATTACATACATTAAAAATTTAATACGTAGCATAGAAGCTGTCACACCATCTAGTAGTGCTACGTAGTAGATTTATTTTTGCTTAATATAACAAATTGCATTAAAATATTGATTATGCTACAGTAGATAAGGTGAATAAAGGAATTATGTTATAATTTACATTTCTGTAATGTAGAAAAAAAAAAAAAATTAAAATAAAAGTAACGAAAGAAATCAACGTTTAAAAAAAAAAAAAAAATTTTTTTTTGTATTCTAGGTTATAAGCGTCGTTTTTTTTTCAAAATTCGTTGTAATTTTTTTCGTGATCTAACCGGAGATAAAACAGGTGATCTAGCTGGAAGTAAAATAGGTGATCTCGAGGGGATAGCGTTAGCCGTAGGTAAAATAGATAACCTTGATGGTCAAATAGGCGATTTCGATAGATTATTTGGGATCTAGAGATACACTTTGGTGTTCAGTTGATGTAGTTGGATTTGTGGTTTGCATGCTAAAATTTGATACAATTTCATTGTGACTTGGGTTTTTGGGATAATTAACGAATCTATAACTTCTGCTAATATATATATTAGCAGGAGACAAAAGGTCTAAGATAAATATATTCATTTTAAATCCGACAATGATTCGTTTTGTTCATCCAACTGATCGATAAACTGATAAACTGATCAACTAGCGCTAGTAGTCGATTAGTTTATTAAATATTAAAAAATTAAATCATAATTCATGAAATATTAAATGTCAAGCAAACAAGAATTTCTTAATTTATTATCCTTCAATAAAATCCAATAATTTTAATTTTCTTTTCGTCACAAAAAAAAAAAAAAAAAAAAAAAATAATTAATAGCAACATTAAAAATTTATATACAAATATAAAAAAATTTAGACAATTAGCACCAACTAAACTTTGCTAGCTGATTGGCTACCATCTAACCAGCCAATTAGATAGCAAAAGTCAAACCCCCAGCACGTATGGGCGAAAATTTCCAGTCGGAACAACGTGATTATTAAAAAAGTTAATGTGATGTCTAAAATTACATATGTGTTACATACGTATATATGTACGTATTACCGTAGGCCACTGCTTACAGTACCCCCCAAAAATAATATCCCCCATGATTAGGATCCGGGTATTATTCACTATATATAGCAATCTAACTGTGGGTAATACCCCGGGTACTTTTCAATTTTAAACACTAAGAGAACTGATTAATACCCAGGTACTATCTATCTTAAAAAGAAAGTACAGTAT